AACCATTGAGTTAACTTGAACTATTACTCTAACCTAAAGTTAAATGTCATAAATACCTAAAATGAATTTCTATAAAATAGAAGTATGGAATGCGAATTTTTCTTACCAGCTCACTATTGCACTACCGCCTCTCCTTACAAACTGCTTCTACGAGGTCATTCATTGAACAAGCTGATCGATTCAATAAAAACAGCGGGACACGTGAATTTTTCTCATATTTTTTGGTGAAACTTCGCTTGTAGAGATCACTCAGTGCCTGATCACGGATATGACATTTCCTTTTAACGTCGGCCCATTTGACGTTTCCTCCTTTTTCATAAAATCTCTGCTATATATAATTTGCTACTTCTGTTTGTTTGTTTGCTTGCTTGCCCGTCCAGAAATTTGGATTTACCTGAAGAGCAGCTTGAAAAGGTGGGTCAAGGTTGGGATAGGAGCATGGGACAAGATGTAAAGTGCACACATGACCTATGCGAAGCTCCGCCCACGGTGGGCGGGGCATGCGCCGAAAATTAGCGGTGTCGCAGACAAAAATCCATAACTCGGTTTTGGAGCAGCCCAAAGATGGGAAAAAAGTGAATTGAGTTCAGTAAGGGATGATCAGACTAACTGTGGTCAAACACACCCTAAAGGGGCGTGACGTGCTTGAAATGGACGGTGCTTCCCGCGAATTCGTAACTCTGTCGTCGTCTGAGATTGAGAAGAGCCTTAGTGTGTTGAGACTCCGCCGCCAGTGGGCGAGCAGTTCCCTCAAACATGGGGTACTCTTTCCAACAAGATCTCTATTATTAGACGCATGTAACGTATTTTTTTTGACAGCGGCGAAGGGGACAAGTGAGGGTGCGGGGGAGAGGGGGGGGGTAGAGGGAGGTGCGCCACTACTTTCCTCACGCAGAACCGGACTGGGGCGGATAGCACCGGCTGCACTCCATGTGCGAGGTGTATGGGTCCGCAGCTGCAGAACTGACCACTTTCTTCGCTCAAAGAAGCATGGAAACAGAAGCTGGACAGGTAGTGTAGGGATTTGACTGTTGCGCTTTCTTGTAACTCCTCTCGAGATATCATATGAGGTGAGCGCTCAGCGCGCCGATACCAACAATGATCATACTGTTGAATGGAGATACAACCTGTGAGAGCGGCTCAGACAGAGCGCGTGTGCTTTTGGCACGGAGAGAGTGCAAGCCACTGCGGTCCTTTCACTATATTACAAAGCAACGGTGCAGCACCCACGGAAGTGACGGAAAAATGTTGTTCAAAAGTGACGCATGTTGTTCAGAGTTTGAAGTCCTCTCTATGTAGTATACCTTCTAGCATGGAAAGGAACAGATCTTCCAAGTTGCAGTTTCTGTCCTGTGGGAGAAGAAAATTCTACCGTCAATACTTTCCCACAAGGTCCTTAAGGCATTTGGGCACGGATGGTAATCCTACTTAGGCCTAAATGCTAGTAGAGCGCTGTACATAGTGAAAAGTGGTGAAAGAACGGAGTGAAACGGTCAAAATCCGGCGAAGAAAAAGCCTCCGTTCTCAGTGACTTGTAAATCGATTTCGGACGAGTTTCCCGTACGCATCTTGCCAATCACCGCTACCGAAGGTACGGCTGCATATGTGTACCCATGTATGCATGCAGCATCACCGCCGCTTCATACCAATCCCTTTGCTTCATAATTTGCTCAGCAAATGAATGAATACGAGCGTCAGAAACGGTCGTCCGTTTGTGGGCGGGCGGGCAAGGAAGGCGTTTGGGACGTAAAGTTGTTGCTCAATAGGGCGTTATAGAGGTACCCTCCTTGGAAAAGGCTTCACGCAGCGCCTGTCCGAGGTCACGGAATTCTGTTAAGCCAGTTGTACAAATCCTACACCTGTATAACGATTTATCGTGCCACACCTTTAATGCCAAGCGCAGCCTTAGTTCTGACGCAATTTCTCTATGCAGCGCAGTTAAGCTGATAAGGGGAGGCTAGTGATCAGGAGAGGCTCCTGAATGCTACTTCAGCCTAAGGACAATTTGAGGTCACACTTCTTCACCATGAAAGCTGGTACTGATTACTTCTAGCCTCATAGAGATAAATCATTTCCCAACGGTGTCAGGACTTTTTCGAATTTGGTCGACCCTTTTATCGTTTCGTAGAGATTTAACTCTTTCTTAATTGTGCCTGCCCTTTTTTCTTTCATCTCTAGTTTGATTGTTTTAGCTCATTGTTTTATACCTTAATTGTCTTACTCTAAATCTATTTGTTATTTTTAAGCTCAATTAGTTTTTGTCCACACATGAGTTATACCTCATGTAATAAATATATAAGTGTACAGTTAGTCTCTAAGATGGAGGAGGAGCAAACCAATGAGGCAAGTGCCGCTCGTCCAAAACCTGTGACACCGCCCAACCTCTGACTCCGCCTACACGTACCGGTGAGTGTGGCGCTTTGAGCAGTAGAGCGATCATCCTGCCGTCTCGTAGCTCTTCTTCTTGATTCTTTCAGTTTTTCTTCTATGTTTTCGCGAGCAGACTTTATCAGCTGGCCGTTTCACTGACACCTCAATTCCCATCCAACGGTAATAAAATGGGCGGGATTTAGAGCCATTCTGTTGTTTTCCTCATTGGTGTGCATTGAAGTGATCCGCCCATTACGGTAAACAGGAGGGTGCGCCAACGAAAAGGTGCATTGGCGCGGAGTCTCCGCCCACAAACTATCACAAATGTTCCTTTGAGCGCAGCTACCTAATCTCAGATTCATTTTTCGGTCCGCTTCAGTTCTGTGAATCGCAGGACTTGCGAAATTGCTCTGAAGCTCTTCTCGGCTTTTACCATTGGTTCGCTTATCCTCAAGACACTCATGACCATCTTATCTCATTTCCTGACTCATCATTTTTGTGAATTTTCTCGAGAAGTGGCATTATTTTGCCTTTTTCGTGGCATCATATTTTCCCCAACACTCATTCAAGAACATATTATGTATATTGTGCGGTAATCGGATGAACGGAGACTCATAACCACTCTTCTTTTCTCATTGGAGCAATTCTCCCTCTAGTATGAAAAAGAGGAGGGATGCGCCAATGCGAAAGGCACAATGCGTATGAGTCCCCGCCCATCTCCTCGCTCGTTCAATTATCGCGGAATCATTCTTCGAACTGACTATTAATGAAAATTCAGTTACCGACAGATATCATGGCAGCTGCCGTGGAACTGCTGCCGCCACCTGAAGGCATACGCTTTATGATGTCCTTCACATATTTGATACTGTCGATCATTGGCCTCATCCCTAACATTATTCTCGCTATAACACTGATCAAGGTGGGTTCAATACTGATCTTGTTTCAGACCGAATATCTCTGTAAGCAGCTTATATAGGGTACTTGCGAGGAGTAGGGCACCCTTGTTCGCTGCGAATAATGGGGCGTGTCAGTGGAGCTGGGTTGGCGCGCTGCCAGCTCGTTATTCACCAGTTCTTGGAGCGGGCGGGCGACAGCAGTTGGCGGAAAACGAGTGATACGAACGATATGATTCAGTCTTGTCGCTTGCAGAAAAGAAAAAAAAGAAAGAAGGTCCGACGTTCCGCACAGCCCATCCCTCCTGAGATATCCCTTCATCCGGCAAAGAACAAGATCGCAAAGCACTGCTATTACTATAAGATATGATACGTAGATGAAACTGATCTAAATCCAAGGTTCATATCTTCCAGGATTTCGCTAATGAAAGGAGGACCACCTGGCGGGGCGGCATTACGGTCTTTTTCGAATATTTTCCCTTTTCTCCATTTACTTCTCTTTTTTCCACATGTCGGCTGCGCTCGCAATTCATCCCAGACAGCCAGTCCCCACCACAACTGGGATGCATGGCGCGTCTTAAAAGCTGATAGTCCAGTGCAGAGGTTATTTATCAGCGTTTATCAGAGACAATCAGTTCACAACGCATCGCTAATGTTTCTCGCTTGGAAAAAAAATACAAAGGATTAGATGTTCATCACCCCAAGGCCCCATACAGCAGGTTCTCTTCAAAATTACTGGGTCATCTGAGGACAGCGTACTTCGACTAGCTTTTAGAGTGACAGATCTTTAACCCTATGGTTCTGGCTTCTCAGACAAGTCTGTCGTCAATCTACAATTGATATCATCGCAGACAGACGGGGAGGAATCAGAAGGCGTGGTATGAGCCCACCCGCGGCGTTTTCTACCACCGGCTGTTCTCTTTCTTGACCGATCACCATTGTTACAAAATGCGGCCGAGGGTGGGTTCATTCCACACCTGACACCTCCCCGACTTTTTACAACAATATCAACTATACCTAACCAGGAGATAAAAATCTTGAATGGCTCAGGCGAGGTTTGATCCACGGATCGTGCAGACGTCAACATTGTCATTATGTCATTCCTTTTAACTATATGATTATGTCATGGGGTGTTTTTCGCCAACGGTTGCTGACCTTTTTTGCAAAATCACCCGCTTTCGACCAGAGCTGGTGGAAGAAAAGGCAAGGTGTCCAGAAAAATCACAGTTAATCAAGGCAGAGCCAATGCTATTTTTGTGGACGGAGCCCGCTATCCTCTTTGGCGGGCTACTCCTCTTTAGCATCTCAGAAAGGAAGAGCCTGCGAATGGGAAGCATATGGCCGGGCCCAAACTTCCAGCTCCGCTGTCCAAGCGGTATCGTGGAACGTAACTCTGGAATTTCCAAGAGTGCAAAATGTAGAATAGAACTTGGCAGAAATTCAACACATCTCGAACTTTCCAATCCTTGACCAGTTTGAGTCAGGGGAGGCAGCCTGGGTGATCCAGGATGCCCAAAACGGGTGCCCATTCGTTCCCAACAAGGGAAACGACGATGCGGCTCGGGCGACATTGGTTGACTTGTAGTGGAATAACTGACATCATCAAGGCCACCTACCATGAGGCGGAGGTCTTATAGTGGCGAGTGGTACCACGCGCGCGGTCGATGGCTCAACGGCATCGGTTCCCGCCCAAGATAACCAAGCCTTCTTCTCTCAGGGGACGCTAGATCGGTACTAGAAGATGAGAACACTGATTTCGTTTCGAGAACGTCGTACGTCGGCTGGCCTCGGAACTCGTTGTACAGGCCACATCGCATTCAATAAGGCAGTATAATTCTGAATTCAAAGGCAGTCGGTACGATAAGTCCCTGGGACGAATAGGATTAATACGCCTGGCAGGACGGAATTCCGCGACCCTGAGCAGGCGCTGCGTAGCGCCTTTTCCAAGAAAGGTACCCTTATAAGGCCCTATCAAGCTACAACATACCGACCCGAACGCCCACCGCGCCCGCCCGCCCACAAATGGACGACCGTACCTGATGGCTTCATTTGCTAAGTAAAATATGAAGCGAAGGGATTGATATGAAGCGGCTGCGGTGCTGCATGGATATATGAGTACATACGTGCAGCCGTACCTACCGTAGCGGTTATTGGCAAGATGCCTACGGGAAACTCGTCCGAAATTGCTTTTTGAGTCATTAAGAACGAAGGCTTTTCTTCGCAGGTTTTTGACCGTTTCACTTCGTTTTTTCGCCATTTCCCCACTATATAGGCCCTGCTAGCATTCCGGACCAATTACCGAATTATCGTGCCAACTGCCTTTGAGTAGAAGACATGCGCATCCGAAAAAGGCATTGATCGACGGCAAAGACTTGATCCTTCATCCTTTTTTACCTAAATGAAAAAATCCTTTCAGATTGGCTCGATGCCGAAGCAGAAAATGTTCGTTCTGTTGGCGGAGCAGATTCTCATCAGCGATTTCTGTCAGCTCTCGTCTCAACTGTTCGTCGCATTTCCGCTATCGTTCTATGGCCAAAATGTGAGTACCAGACAGTCTGTTAACTTCCGTAAGTAATGAGTAATCAGTCTATTCAGATCTTCGAGGGAACTCCGGCCATTTGGGTATATAATGTGGTGAATTTCCTTGATACTGTAGGCTACAATGGTGTTCTTGACTTTACTTTTCTAATGGCCGTAAATCGTCTCACGGTTTTCATGGCGCCGGGTCTCCATTCAATGCTCTTCGACAGCAGTAATATCAAAAAGTTTGTCTTTCCTATGAATCGAGAACAATCGGTAGACCCGATTTAATTCTCTAAATTCAGGACAGTTATCTTCGTATGGTGTTTTCTGCTTACGCAAATTACGGGCGAATACTGTATGCGATGCTATAAGCAGTTCAGCTATGATGAATTCTATTTCTATTTTTCTTGTGAGAATCCTAATGCGATTTGGGTTGTTATATGGCTTGGAGTGAGTTTTATCAGACTTGAGTTTTAATAATTCGATGATCTTTAAGCGTGACTGGCCAACCAGCCAAGGTGTGAGACCTTAGGTTCCGTTTGACAGCGCCATCAGGAGTACGCACAATTTCAAAAGAAGAGCATCCACGGGAATCTGGGAGGGAGCTCACGAAAGAAAACCCATGGCGGCGGGTGGGGCTTTAATAAGGGAAAGTCCTTTTGAACATATTCCGCGATAACCCGATGGACCGAGGAATGGGTCGGGACAGATAACTGTTGCGCCTTCCTCATTGGTGCCCTTTCTAGTGTGTTGAAGAAAAGGTGCACCGGTGAGTCTGACGCAATGATAACAATTCTCCGCCCATTTCTCCGCCCATCCGATAATCGGGCAATATGTCTTTAAGGACGTTTGAAACTAGCCGTTCTCCGCCACTGCGCGGATAAATGAACCTATGAGCGGCCCTTGAAGTTACTATATATATCGTAAATGTCCCGAATGTCTCGGGCATAAGGTGAATGGTACATAAACAATCTTCGATCTGCCTAACTTTGTTACTCGAGCATACACAATTAGGAGCTAGCCGCAATCAATAGCCACTACCTTCCCTACTTGTTTAGACGTCGATGCTCCTAGTTGTCTGCATGAATGATTAGCCAGGCCTCGTTCCTATTAGGCCCCTTGCTGCGGTTACAGCCGGGTGTGGAACGCAAAAAACTTCGAGCTTGAAGACCTTAAACTGTGCGCGAAAGTTGTTAGAACCTCGTCAAGTGCTGCTGAAACTTTGTCAAGTGCATCTCGATTGCGCCGTGCGCCCACTGAAGCCTCACATCATAGATACGATTGAATATCCCAGGACTGCAAGCTTGACTTCCGAAACAAGCCTCATTCTCTTTGACGAGCAGAGTTCTCGGTGCACTTCTCTAGTGGTCCAGTACCCTGTATGCAAAAGTTGAGGTTCATAGATTATATTCTCACAGACAACGATTACCAAATTCATCTCCTGCTCAGAAAACCATAAAAGACGACCAAAGTACGGTGGCTTACGTAAGAGACCTATAGTAGCACAAAAATTACACGATTTTTCTCGATAAGTGATTTTCCCACCACTCAATCTAATACAATTTCCTTGTTCACACATTTGAGCGGTCTCTTTCCCTGAAAGTGAACCCAATTCCAGTGGCAAAAACTATAATTGCAAACGCCAGCGAGCCCTCCATCTCCCTGTACAAATCGGAAGGGGGACAAAGGGGCAAATCTCCCATTAACAAGTGGATGCAAAAACCACGTACACTTTAACGCACTAGTTGTGCTAGAATGACGGAGAAAGTGAAACCACTCTAGACATACTACACATTCAAGCACTAAACTTTAATTATCTAGTTTTATCCATCCGCGGGGGGTGTCATAAGTGAAGCGCTGAGGATGGGTCGGGCTGACCACGAGAGGTCGTTGAATTGTCCCGCTTCAGGCTCGCTCATACAGGGAGGGGCCAAAAAAAGACTTTTTTCTTCCTCGACTTTCGAGGCGCTATAAGTTACACTTTATTAAATCCTTATCGGACATTTATACCACCATATTTAAAGAACATATTAAATTACTATCATATACTCCAGCCGGAGTGATTCTGCACGCGCACCGTCAGTGCATGCGTGAGTCCAGCGAGATATGATCGAATTTTCCGCACTTGTAGACCAAGTTCGAATTCTCGCCACTGTGAGACCACCCTATTGAACTCTCCCGAACCGGGTAAGTTGAGGACGGTTATGGTCAGGTACCTTGCGTTAGAATATCTCCACCATGACTAATTCGCATGTTCAAATCAGACGTCATAAGAGGGAAGTGCGCTGCTCAAATTCGACCGGCGCCGGACCAGTAGTTGTGTGTAATGGTGTTCGATATAATGAAGTGAAGGTTTAGTTCAGGAGCCCGAGGAAGAAAGAAAGGAAAAAAATTGTTTCGTGGATGGTCCATAATGTTCATCCTGCACAAGAAAAAGGGTGGATGAAGTCAAGCGCTGAATGTCTGATCACAGAGCCTGGACCTTTGTCGAGCTTTCCCGCGAGTCTGACATCCCAGCTGCAACTGCTGCCCAAGTTGCGATGAAACTGGCTAGATTGGTCAAGAGGGTGGCGCATGGGTACCTAATTTTCTTATAGAAGCACGAACGCAGTACCGATTCTATACCTCTAGCAGTAATGTTCTCAGCATGAGATGTCATTCACGACTGTGAAAACGCACCCTGGCCCTAGATGAAATATGGGTGGTTTGGACCTGGAGCCAAAAACTTCGCAATGGTTCAAACTTGTATGAAGGCCAGATTGAGAAGCCGCCGAGTGTCTACCATGAGGGTTTACGTGGGCGCAAGTGGATGATTATCATAGCGAAGGATTTGTGCACTGTGCCTTTCGGGCGGCTCCATATAGAGAATAAAATCGTCGCTGCCAGTGTATATTGCCTGTTCCTCGGCAATCAGATCGACACAAAATGGATTGATACCACACAACTACAAGAAGGCCACCGTTGCTCGTCATAGTGCCAGACCCCGAGTAACTGTATTGTAGGGCAGTGCTGGGACACAAACAATACTGAGACCTGGGTTCAATCGCCCCATTCGCCATAAAGGTCGCCGAGCCGATTCAACTGTTTCTCGTCAGTGTCGAGAGTACTCGACGGCAACGCTACAATGTTTTTCGCCGAAATTGGCAACAACAGCAATTTACTCGCACTTGTTGAAAAATCGAAGGTACCAGAGGTCCAAAGGCTTTCGGGGCACTGGGAGCGGGTCATTGGTGAAGGAGGGATTTACTTAACTTGAAGCCAAAATATTACTTTTTATCTATTCTCCTCTTTGTTTTATTCGAAAAAAACCGACGGCACTTTGGAATGGGATGACCTAATATTAGCACTAGTCGTTAGAATGCTACTACCCTCGCCCGCTTGACAGCAAAATTAGGAGCAAATTTGTGCAGGAATAGTACATCGGGACAGACTATTCGATTAACGCCGGCATTTTCAGATAATGCGTTATCAAAGCTACACTTTTCCTATCATTATGTTCATCACGTATCTAATACTTTTCTTCTACATAAAAACGAGGCTGCCGCGGACGGAGAAACAAGTCAGCCGCCCAACGACAACGGAAGTATGAAATCAATCTAGTAGTACAGGTAAGTTTTCCTCATCGACCCACCCTCGCTCTCCTTTCAACCCATTATTTACAGGCTGTTATTATCTCATTCTTTATCGAACTTCAAACACTATCGTTCACACTTCTTCCGATGATTGGCCACGGAAATAACCGATTCTACTCAAGCCTCGCACAGAACGTTATCAGCATCATGAACAACTCATCCAGTCCCTATGTGTACTTCTTCTTCAACAGTCAGATTCGTGCAGGGATACTGGCGCTTGTACGCTGTAAATCGCCGAAACAACAAGCTCAAGCTGTAGTCACTACCATATCGCAAGCAGGAAAAAGTCAGGCGTCATGAACACTGGAGATCACCGGACTACACGAAGTTTAACGTTTTTGAAGGCTTTTCGAAAGCATAAGACCTGAAAACGCATGAAAACCTGCACGAATGCATCCAGCAGACCATGAAAACCCTTGTAGAAGCACTAATTTCGATTGGAAAGTTCATGTGACTGTGACGATACGAGCTTAGTATCTCCTAGCTAGTTGACTCGACGTATTGTACCCTTTTTACATTGAACCAATTAGATTCTGACGTGAATGCCGCGCACGTGGCACCATTCACAGCATCGCTACTTGCCGCAGCGTGGA